GAAACTGTGGTATATCTATACAATGGAGTATTACTCAGCAATGAAAAATAAGGAAATCATGAAATTTGCAGGTAAATGGTGGGATCTGGAAAGGATCATCCTGAGTGAGTTGTCCCAGAAGCAAAAAGACATGCATGGTATATACTCACTCACATAAACATACAATATAGAATAAACCCACTAACATCTGTACATCTAAACAAACTAAGCAAAAGAGAGGACCCTAACTAAAATGTTCAATCCCCATCCTGAAAGGCAAAGAGGATGGACATCAGAAGAAAAAGAAAATAGGAAACAACCTCGGAACCTGCTACAGAGGGCCTCTGAAAGCCAGAAGAAAACAGGAAACAACCTTGAAACCTGCCACAGAGGGCCTCTGAAAGCTTCTGCAGTATAGACTGTCAAAGCAGATGCTAAGCCTGATGGCCAACCTATGGGCAGAGTGAATGGAATTCTATGTAAGAAGTGGGAAATAGTAAGAGCTGGAGGGGACAGGAACTCTGCAAGGAGAGCAACAGAACAAGATAATTTGAACACAGGGAACTTCCCAGAGACTCATACTCCAACCAAGGACTATTCGTGGAGATGACGTGGAACCCTTGCACAGGTGTAGCCCATGGCAGTTTAGTGTCCAAGTGGGTTACGTAGTAATGGGAAGAGGGACTGCCTCTGACATAATCTGATTGGCATGCTCGTTGATCACTTCCCCCTGAGGGGGGAGCAGCCTTATCAGGCCACAGTAGAGGACAATGCAGCCACTTTTGATGAGAACTGATAGACTAAGATCAGAAAGAAGAGGAGAACCTCCCCTATCAGTGGACTTGGGGAGTGGCATGCATGCAGAAAGGAGAGGGAGGGTGGGATCGGGAGGGGAGGAGGGAGGGGCTTATGGGGGGATACAAAATGAATAAAGTGTAATGAATAAAACATTTAAAAAAAAGAAAGAAATTAAAGACTTCCTAGACTTCAATGAAAATGAAGGCACAACATACCCAAATTTATGGGACACATTGAAAGCAGTGCTCAGGAGAAATTTTATAGCACTAAGTGTCTGCAAGAAGAAATTCGTAACATCACATACAAACAACTTAATGGCCCAACTGAAAACCCTAGAAAAAAAAGAAGCAGATACACCCAAGAGGAGCAGACAGCTGGAAATAATCAAACTCAGGGCTAGTATCAATCAATTAGAAACAAATAAAACTATTCAAAGAATCAATGAAACAAAAAGCTGGTTCTTTGAGAAAATCAACAAGATAAACAAAACCTTAGCCAAACTAACTAAAAAGCAGAGAGAATCTATCCAAATCAACAAAATCAGAGATGAAAAGGGTGACATAACTACAGACACTGAGGAAATTCAAACAATCGTTAGGTCATACTACAAAAGTCTATATGCCACAAAATTTGAAAACCTAAATGAAATGAACAATTTTCGTGATAGATTCCATCTTCCAACATTAAGTCAAGATCAGGTAGAAAGACTTAACAGCCCTATATCCCCCAAGGAAATTGAAGCAGTCATTCACAGTCTCCCCTCCAAAAAAAGCCCTGGGCCAGATGGTTTCAGCGTGGAATTCTACCAGACCTTCAAAGAAGTGCTCACACCAATTCTCCTCAAACTATTCCACAAAATAGAAACAGAAGGTACATTACCAAACTCATTCTATGAAGCAACAGTCACCCTGATATCTAAACCACACAAAGACCCAACAAAAAAAGAGAACTTCAGACCTATCTCTCTTATGAACATTGACGCAAAAATACTCAATAAAATACTTGCAAACGGAATCCAAGAACACATCAAAGATATCATCCACCACGACCAAGTAGGCTTCATCCCAGGCATGCAAGGGTGGTTCAACATACGGAAATCCATCAATGTAATCCACCACATAAACAAACTGAAGGAGAAAAACCACATGATCATCTCCTTAGATGCTGAAAAAGCATTTGACAAAGTCCAACACCCATTCATGTTTAAAGTCTTGGAGAGATCAGGAATACAAGGCACATATCTAAATATAGTAAAGGCAATATACAGCAAGCCTATAGCTGACATCAAACTCAATGGAGAGAAACTTAAATCAATCCCACTGAAATCAGGGACAAGACAAGGCTGCCCACTCTCTCCATACCTCTTCAACATAGTTCTTGAAGTCCTAGCCAGAGCAATAAGACAACTAAAGGAGATCCAGGGGATACAAATCGGAAAAGAAGAGGTCAAAGTGTCACTATTTGCAGACGATATGATAGTATATATGAGCAACCCCAAAAATTCAACCAGAGAACTCCTCCAGCTGATATACACCTTCAGCAAAGTGGCAGGATACAAAATCAACTCAAAAAAATCAGAAGCCCTCCTGTATACCAAAGACAAAATGGCCAAGAAAGAAATTAGGGAAACAACACCTTTCACAATAGCTACTAAAAACATAAAGTACCTTGGGGTGACACTAACCAAGCAAGTGAAAGACCTGTTTGAGAAAAACTTCAATTCTCTGAAGAAAGAAATTGAAGAAGATCTCAGAAGATGGAAAGATCTCCTGTGCTCATGGATTGGTAGGATTAACATTGTGAAAATGGCCATCCTGCCAAAAGCAATCTACAGATTCAATGCAATTCCCACCAAAATATCAACTCACTTCTTTACAGACCTTGAAAAAAAGATTCTCAGCATCATATGGAGAAACAAAAAACCCAGAATCTCCAAAACAATCCTGTACAACAACAAATCATCTAGAGGTATCTCCATCCCCGATCTCAAGCTGTACTACAGAACAATAGTAATAAAAACTGCATGATATTGGCATAAAAAGGATGATCAATGGATCTGAATAGAAGACCAAGAAATAAACCCACACACCTATGAATACTTGATTTTTGACAAAGAAGCCAAAACCATTCAATGAAAAAAAGACAGCATCTTCAACAAATGGTGCTGGTCCAACTGGATGTCTACATGAAGAAAAATGAAAATAGATCTATATTTATCACCCAGCACAAAAGTAAAGTCCAAGTGGATCAAAGACCTCAACATAAAACCAGATACTCTAAATCTGTTAGAAGAAAAAGTGGGGAACAGCCTAGAACTCATTGGCACAGGAGACAACTTCCTGAACAGAACACCAACAGCACAGGCTCTAAGAGCAACAATCAATAAATGGGACCTCATGAAACTGAAAATCTTCTTTAAAGCAACGGACACCATCATCAAAGCAAAATGACTGCCTACAGATTGGGAAAGAATCTTCACTAACCCTTTATCTGACAGAGGACTAATATCTAGTATATACAAAGAACTAAAGAAGCTGAAAAGCAGCAAACCAAGTAATCCAATTAAAAAATGGGGAACAGAGCTAAACAGAGAATTCTCAACAAAGGAATATCGAATGACAGAGAAACACTTAAAGAAATGCTCAACCTCATTAGCCATCAGGGAAAAGCAAATCAAAACGACCCTGAGATTTCACCTCACACCCATCAGAATGGCCAAGATGAAAAACTCAAGTGACAACACATGAAGAAGAGATTGTGGAGAAAGGGGATCCCTCTTCCACTGCTGGTGGGAATGTAAACTGGTACAACCACTTTGGAACTCTATCTGGCGCTTTCTCAGACAATCAGGAATAGTGCTTCCTCAAGAATCAGCTATACCACTGCTATGTATATACCCAAACTTTGCTCAAGTACACAAAAGGGATACTTGCTCAACCATGTTTATAGCAGCTTTATTTGTAATAGCCAGAACCTGGAAACAACTCAGATGTCCATCAACAGAAGAATGGATACAGAAATTGTGGTATTTTTACACAATGGAATACTACTCAGCAATCAAAAAGGAGGAAATCATGATTTTTGCAGGCAAATTGTGGGATCTAGAAAAGATCATTCTAAGTGAAATGTCCCAGAAGGATAAAGACAAACACAGCATATACTCACTTATATAGACCTATAAGATATGACAAACATAATGAAATCTATACACCTAAAAAAGATAATCGAGAGAGCAGACATGGGGTAAGATGATCAATCCTCGTTTAGAAAGACAAATGGGATGTGCATTGAACGTATGACAGGAGTCTACTGAAGGCATGTGAAAGACTGTACCTAGCAGTGTTTTCAAAGCAGATACTAAGACTCATAACCAAACCTTCGGCAGAGTACAGGGAATCATATGAAAGAAGGGGAGTTAGTATGATGGGGAAAGGATAGGAGCTCCACAAGGACCAAATATATCTGGGCACAGGGTCTTCTCTGAGACTGACATTCAACCAAGGACCATATATGGATATAACCTAGAACCTCTGCTCAGATATAGCCAGTGGTAGCTCAGTATCAAATTGGTTTCCCATAGTAAGGGGAACAAGGACTATTTCTAACAGGAACTCAATGACTGGCTCTTTGTCCTCCCAACCCCCCAAGGGAGGAGTAGTCCTGTTAGGCCACAGAGGAGGACTTTGCAGCCAGTCCTGAAGATACCTGATAAAAAAGGATCAGATGAATGGGGAGGAGGTCCCCCCCATCAGTGGACTTGGAAAGGGGCAGGGTGGAGATGAGGGAGTGAGGGTGGGATTGGGAGGGAATGAGGGAGCAGGACACGGCTGGGATACAGAGTTAATAAAATGTAACTGATAAGAAAAAAATAAAATTAAAAAAAACATATTGAGCATATTATCAGTTCCATCTTGCTTTTAAAGATTGCATCTAAGTGCTTATATATTTATTTCTTAAATGAAAGCTATGAGTAAATTTATATATTCACACTATATTTTGCAAACTTATTGATTATACTATCTTCAAAGCAAATCTTTTTCCCAGTTTCAGGAACTCACTTCAGCAGATAGAAAATGAGAGAAAATTCTTTTTTGCCTGTCTTTTAAGTTTTCTTGTTTGCACATAAGTCAAATATAAGATATGAAACATTGGAAAATGAAATTTTTAGAATGATGGCAAGGCTAACCAATGACTGGCAGAGCTCCATAAACTGTAATACTCACGAAGGCTCATTAATGACGGCTCTCAAGGCACTGAGTAAATCAGAGCTTGTCATTGTGTTGATGTTCATTTTCAAGGCTGCTCCCTTGGCCTTCATGTGAGCAATGTTGTCGGGCTGATCAGCGAACATGGGAATTCCCACCATAGGGATCCCATGGTAAATGGCTTCGTAGATCCCATTTGTTCCACCATGAGTGATGAAAGCTTTGGTTTTAGGATGTCCTGTTTGAGGGACAGAGTGACAAGTTGCCGTGGATTTTAATCTATCCCATTCGAAAAATATAATCTATAGTGTGAGTCTCTGAAGAAGGTAACTTCCTCCAAAGGTTGGGAACATGGGACATTTCTTCCCTAGAATCAATCCCGTTTTCACTGAATAGGTGTCACTGTGTACCAGATGACATCTGATGAAATTCTGAAGACTGATGAGACTCTTAACTGAGCATTATCTTTTGTGAACCAAAGCAAAAACTAGCAAAACTAAAAGAAAACTACTAATTTAATGAACAATTATTCCATTGTATTTGTCTCTAAAGTGGAAGTGCAGCATGAAAATTCAAATTATTAATGTCATCAGCTGATTTGGTGTTGGTTTGCTTGCCCAACTTTTCTCCCTCGAGGTCTTACCAAGAAGATCGTTCTGAGGAATCCAATTAAAAAGCCGAGTATTGGATCCTAAAGTGGTTGGTTTCTTGCCTGAGTATCTCCACAAAACCTGTTGAAGACAATGCTGTGAATTTGGAGGCCAAAAACACAATGAGGAAGTGTAATGGCTGCAGCGCTGTTACTTGGAGCAAACATAGCCTACACTTGTTAGGTAGTACTTGAGAAGGGAATATATTCGCGGCAGGTTGTAAAAATTAAGAGATACAGTAAACCTGCTCACACCTCCCTGCTTCAGAAAGCTTCCACTGATAGTTTAGTAAGCATAAAATTGCCACTTTGGTCTTCACTACTGAAGGGCCGGCGAAACAGAATTTCAATGAAGAACTTCTTTAATATATCAGAAGATTTGAGATCAAGACCTCCATGAAAGTGAATGCCACACACATTTATTTCACATGATCTAGTGATCCTTATCATCATGTTCATAGTGTAATTTTTCAGAAAATTTATTACTAGGTTGAGTGTTTGTGGTAAATTTTTTTCCTATTTATTTGATGACTTTCTTCTCCCTCTTCACATCTCTTTCCTTACCTCAATTTTCCTCTTACCTTGCATTTTTGTTCCTGCTTCTGTTTTGTTCTTTTCTCTTTATCTCTCTCTGGTCTCAGTTCTCCCTCCCTGGTCCCTATTCCCCCCCCCCCAGGACACCCCCAGACCCTGGACTCATCATTTGAATGATTTGCTTAAAAATTTAACAATTTGTTACATAATATTTTCTGTGGAGAGAGTGAGAAAATTTCATATAACTCTAAAACTAGAAAACTGTAAGAGAAAATTGTGGAAATAAACGGTTTTAAAAGCATAGTCAGCATGCTTCATATAATCTTACATACTTTGTCTAGCACATAAATGCAAAAATCTTGTTTCTATATAGTTTATAAATGAAAGTATATATGAAATAAAATTCTACTTATTAAATTTATAAGATTATTTAAAAATTTGAAAATTCATATTTTTGACAATATTAGAAGTCTATAGTTAAAATATAGAATATTCAAATTGGAAAAAATGAGCGACTTCAGGTTTTTAATTGTAGATGAACTACACTTTGATAAAGTCTAAAGTCTTAATAAAATTTATGATTTTTATTTCTAAGCCTTGTTTCTCTCTGCTGTGTGTGTAACCTTTCCCTTCCTGTGGACCACTTTGCTAAATTGTGAATCGGCCTTCCTAACATTTACTGCAGGCCTCAGGATTTCAAGTGGTCTGGGATCTTCCTCCATGAAAGTTTATACCTACTTATTGTAACTTTTTATGCCCTTGTCAGTGATATTCCTGGGAGGCCTGCTCTCTTTTTGTTTTTTGTTCTGTTTTGTTTTTTTGGAAGGGATTCAGGGAAGCATCAGAAGATAGTGTAGGTGGTTGGTTGGACTGGGAAGAGGAGCGGGAGGGGAAACTGAGGTAAGGTATGAGAGAAGGATAAAGAAAAAAAAAGTGAAAGACCACTAATGTATGTTTTCCCATAGTTGTGCTAAGAGTCAGTAGGCAAATGATCAAATGTAGTTAAAAACACCATTTATATATGCTATCACTATTTCCTGAAGAGTTGAGGTCAACTTTGCTCACTGAGTAACAGATTTCAGTTTCTATGTGCAAAGAACCCTGTCAAGCTTTTCTCTGGGGTCCACCCAAAGCTGCTGTGTACCAACCTTCTGAGGAATCTGGGAAAGGGCTGAGGCAATGAGATTGGCCTTCTCTTCTGTAAGGTTTTTGACCATTGACCCCAGAGAAAACACCACAACGCCGTGTTCCCCTGAGCTCTGGACAAATTCTTCTATTTCCTGCAAACAGAACATTTTGTTTTCACTGTAAGCAAACACAATGTTGACACACAGCACATGCCTTTAATCCCAGTACTATGGAGGGAGAGGAAGGCAGACCTCGGTGAGTTCAAGGAGATCCTGGTTTACATGGTGAGTTCCAGGCACTCACATAGAAACATACATTGACAGACAGGCAGACACAGATGCTTACACACACACACACACTACAGGAATGATGTTGAACTTACTTGACTGAGACTCATTTTTTTCCTTATTCTGCTTTTCCAAAAGAGATAAAAGCCATGACTGACATTTACTTGGTCAAAGTCTATTTTGTTACACTTTGTTAGACAAGCTGAATTTGGAGTAAAGGTAACTCTTACTTCTATTAAATAAGGTCTAGGCACTTTTGTGGAGTTTTGCATAGTCAAGGACTCTAGGAAGTTAAATCAAATAGTGAGGTGTGGAGCTTACGTAGCAAGCAATGTATGTATTGTGTCTATGTACGTATCATTTAGATATTGATTCATTAAATCTTATAAACCACTATACAATTAAATTTAGTGAATTTATAGATTATAAAAAATAATTTTAATAATATTCATAATACAAAATGAAATTTACATTTAAATACTCCCTTCACAGTCTCTACAGGAATCGAAAACTTCTAAGGAAATACTATTTAATCTACAATCTTCTGAAAATTCTGTGCTTGTGAGCTTACAAACCAAATAATTTGTACTTGTCTCTTCACTCTCCACTGATAGTTTTTCAACTGTGTTCATCTATTATCTTCTTCTGTTTCCCAGCAATTTTTGTTTCAACAAATCTGTTATTCTTTTTTTTTTTCTTTATAATGTCCAAGACATGATGCACAATTTTCTTTTTTACTCTAAAAACTGCTGACTGTTGCTATCCAGAGCAACAGAACAAGATAATTTGAACACAGGGAACTTCCCAGAGACTCATACTCCAACCAAGGACTGTCCGTGGAGATAACCTAGAACCCTGACAATGCAGCCACTTCTGATGAGAACTGATAGACTAAGTTCAGAAAGAAGGAGAGGAGAACCTCCCCTATCAGTGGATTTGGGGAGGGGCATGCATGCAGAAAGGGGGGAGGATGGGGCCGGGAGGGGAGGAGGGAGGAGCTTATGGGGGAATACAAAATAAATAAAGTGTAATTAATAAAAAAAAAAACCCTGCTGACTTCATATTCATAGATGCCCATATATCATTTGAGTTTATTTGTCTCGTTATGTTTACTTGATGTTGATGACTCTCAACTTACACCAACCGGTCATTTTTTTAGACTTTTCTTCAGTGAAATAATCATTGGCTCTTTGTCTTATGCAGTTGAAGGGCACACTCATTATTGCCATCTCCGGCTCATTTTTCTACCAAAATTATAATGACAATCCACTAAAGCCTAAGACTATGTCCCAGATGCTCTGCTTCTGAGGGCCTCCCACAAGTGCTTTCTCTGACTCACTGAATCCTAAAAATTTGCCAAGATTTTTTTATGAAGTTATCTTTCTCTATAAAGCAGTTGGGCACAGATTACTGTTCACAGCTCTGTCAGACACATGAAGAAGACTGTAGGAAATCTCCTTGTTGATATTTGTGACTATTTTTTTTCCAGAACACACACATATTCTCTTAGTATATCATCTGAACATTTTACTTTTAATCTTAAATTCTCTAATGAAATTTGAAAGTTCCAACAAGTTTCATTGAAAAGTAACTATGATGAGAAAAGTAAATTCTACTGGTACAGTGAAGCTACTAAATAGCAATATCTCTGTTACTGAAGTTATTAACCTTGAAGAAAAATCAGCTATTGTATCATGAAATACCTAATATCTTCTCTGTCCTAGACTTACCTTAGGTAATGGCTTGGCAGGTTTGCAGTGCAGTCCTCCCACAAAATCAAAATTTGGCAAATATGGACGAGGATATTCAAAATCCCAATATGTTCGGATGAGCCAAATTTCAGCTTTACCCACCGTCTTACATAATGTGGTGGGTTTTCCTTGGAAACATTCAGAGAGTTGAGAGGACAAAGTTAGCACTCAGGTTTTCTGAGAAAAAAAAATGTACCAAAGAGAGGCTGGAGAGAGGGTTGAGTTTTTGCCAAGTTGACGCAAATCTAGACATAGCTGGGATGAGGGGATATCTGTTGACCAATTACCTGATCCATATTGGCCTAGAAAAATCTTTAGGATTTATTGTTGATTTATGGTGATTATGGGAGGATCCATCTCACTGAGAAGGCAATGCCACTACTGGGACCAAACACCTAGGTGGTGTAAGGAAGTGGGCTGAGCAAGCCATTAGTGGTAAGACATTAAGCACTGTTTCATCATTGCTTCTACTTTAGTCATTGCCTCTAGGTTCTTGCCTTGGCTACTCTCAAAAGACTATCATCCAGGATAGGTAAGCCAAATACACCTTTTCCTTTCCAATTTTCTTTTGATCATGGTGATTTACCACAATAGATTCCATAACTGTGATGTGTGTGTGCGTTTGTGTGTGCAAGAGAATGATAGATAGATACACAGATACACAGATAGATAGATAGATAGATAGATAGATAGATAGATAGATAGATAGATAGATAATGTAGAGACTGTGTACTTTAAAGGAAGTTAAATCAAATGTAGTTATGTTTCCACAAAGGGCCATAGACTATCTAATAAAAACACCAGTGCCAGGCATAGGAAACCTCCCTTAGGTTTATTAGAACCAGCTGTAAAGCCTATGAACAACAACAATGTCTGCCTTGCAAGATATCCCCAATAGTACAAAAGTAACTCTTTTTAGTGGTTAATAATCCCTCTTTAGGGTTGGAGAGATGGCTCAGCGGCTAAGAACACTGGCTGTTCTTCCTAAACAGTCCTGAGTTCAATTCCCCGAAACCCCATGGTGGTGCCCTCTTGTGGTGTACAGGCACACGTGGAAGAAGAACACTGTATAAATAATAAATAAACATTTAAAAAAATCCCCCGTTAGTTGGGCTTTAGACTTTCTCAATAACACGGAACTTAGATCTTATAATGTAAACCTAGAAAACTACTCATGACTAATGAGGTTGACCAGAAAAACAAAATCTACTACTGTTAATCTCCTAAACCTCTGTGACTTCTGATTGTATTCTGGGTATTTTTATTCGTTCACCCACAGATAAATATAACTCTCAGTCCAAATAAACTTTTTTTTTTTTTCAGCAGAAGGCTATTACAGCAATCTGCTACTGGTCAAAATGCAGATATTAACAGACTATGGGAGGCCCAAATTTAATTGGTACACCTACAATGTCACTGCCATGTCTTATATTTCAGAAAACTTCATAGAAGAAAAGTAAAAAAAAAAAAATATTGTAAAAATCAGAGAACCAGGACTCTTGCTGTGAGACAGCAACAAGAATTTGTAATAATTTGGTCATTACAATTTCAATAACCTGGTCATCTTAAGAAACACTGCATAATGACAACACCAGTTGACAAGCCAATATGGAGGGGAGAAATCTCTCATGACCCCATCATGAAATGAAAGCAAGAGCTAATTAATGGCTGCTGAGAGAGGGAGAATCAGTCTTCTCTAGGGATGAATTATCGTGGACATCATCCACTACCAAATGGTCAGCCTTAAACACAAATGTTTGAGCAACAATAAGTGTACTAAATGGGTTACACATGATGTATATGTGTATGTGTGTGAATTTATATATGTACAAGAATAATTAAAGAAGGTCATGAATTTGGAGGGAGTAGGGATACCATGAGAAGAGTTGAAGGGGATGCAGAAGGTAGAACTGCTCTAAATTCTAAATCTCTGTATTAAACCCTCAAAATAAAAAACAACTAAATTAAAAAAAAATTAAATAATAATAAGTTAGTTTGCTCCAGTGTTGAATATGCAAGAACATTTTTGTGGAGTGATTATTAAGAATTTCAGAATCTGGAATATTTAACATGCAAAACTGATGATAGTTATCTAATATTTTTTTAACTTGTGAATTGTACTCTACCCAAGAGGAATGAAATATATAATCTTGCAGAGGATAATCCATACACCAGAGCCCACTTCAAGGATGAAGCCTAGCTTGCACACCAACGTCTTAAACCAATCACCCATTTGCTGGTGCTTGAACACCATTTGCAGAAACAGTGCAGATGTGTTCTCTTTCTTCTTTCTTTCTTTATTTCTCTCTTTCTTTCTTTCTCTCTCTTTCTTTCTATCTTTCTTTCTTTCTTTCTTTCTTTCTTTCTTTCTTTCTTTCTTTCTTTCTTTCTTTCTTTCTT